AGAGAGAAAGAGAGGGCTTCGTACAAAAAGTGCAGTCGATCGTAAAAAGACAAGATCGGTGTTACTCGATTCGCGATCGATCGGTACTGAAACTTCGCGGAGCAGAACGCACAAGTGACGTGGTCGCAATCGCAATTCAGAATTCACGCGGTGACAATCAATAAATTATTTCCGATGCCGGGGTATGACGTACGTACATTCGCTTCGTTAACTGTGATGCGCGCAGCACTTTCTCACAGTGTTACATGGAATGTGCGTAGATCTCATGTTGCCCCCATCAAACGTCCGAGGATTGAACAATGGTATCGACAAATGGAAATCGATCCTTTGGAATAATCGGCCGAGTGAGACGTCGGATCGCGGAGAAAGGCGCAATGCAAAATACAAAATTACAAAAATATATTCGTGGCGCCGATGACGACCGAACCCGTGCCGTGCGAGTTTCCATTGTGTATCATTTACAATATGAACAGCATGTACGAATAGAGTGCAATTGAAAGAAGGAGAGAGAGAGAGAGAGAGAGAGAGAGAGAGAGAAAAGTGTATGTACATAGCACGGCACAGAGGTCGATCTAGGCAAGCCGCGACTTTGCTAGGCCGCTTAAAATACTGTTCTGCGATGTTCTCCGATCGTGCGAGCTCGATTTTTCACATACGCTCGAATCGAAAGCGCGATTTCCTTCTCATTTGCACGACACATTCGGGCTGCTGAGTAATACAAGTCTACGTATAAGAAGAGACAAACATAATGGAACGACGCGTTCCGCATGCATTGATTCGACGATTCGAGAAGAAACGAAGATAGAAAAATCGTGGTTGGAAAAATCGGTTGGCACTGGCCTACAAGAAACCGGAAACGTTTCTCAGACTGTCGCGGCGCATCGCGACTGAACATTTTTCTCGCACGAGAGTTAGACGGTAACACTCCGCAATAAGTTGTCGAGCTCGTCGATCGCGGTGGCACGGCGAAAAATCGAGGCGACACGACCGCGTTGCTATTTTCTCCGCCGCGTCTCACCCGGATGGCTGTCAAGTTTGCACTCGAGTCGTAGTCATCGAGCGCTTAATACTGTTTGGCGTAATCCGGGCACGAAAAGCTCAGTTTTCCGGATGGTTCTTGGCCATCGCATTTTACGCGTCCCGCGAATCGATCTCAAAAGCAGATAATCAGAATGCGAAATAAAAGGAATAGCTTTAAAAGAAAAACAAAGATAAGAAAAAAGAATTGAAATAATCTACTCTAAATAAAATAAAATATTAAATTATATATTCGTATCGCGATCCGAATAACATGTAACATCCTAAAAGGAGAGATTTTAATCGACAAAACACAGGATGTAAGATAAGAAATCGAAATTTTTTTTTTCATTCGAACCTAAATTTTATCTTAATCCTCCAGAACTAGCGCTAAAATTACTGCTGGGGCTCACTTATGTTAAATAAAAGGCATTAATTAATTTCAAGGAAATAAAATGACATAAAAATAAATAGCCAGTAAATACAATCAAAGTAAAATCAATGTTATAATTTCATACTCAAAAACTGTTGTAGTAAATTCTCTCAACGTAACTGTTATATATCATATTGTTGAATATGAATATAACATTAGTATTATATCACCGTTAATTGATGTTTACTGGGTACGTATATTTTAATAAAAATAATTCAAATATGCAGAGGTAACATAAAGAAAATTAAATTCTAATACTTTTGAACAAAGAGATTTATAATTGAGTAGCTCTCTCCAATAGATTGACTTATCGTCAGCAAGGATATAATTGAATAAATCCAGTAGAGACTCACGTCTGGAGGATTAAGGAAATTTTTATTTTAATCTGCGTTCGCGCATGAGATACCGAGATATTTAATAAATCGAAACTTCTCGTGCGATTGCATAAGAGAAGAAGCGCTGAGTTTACGGTCGACATAAAGTGTCTTCTCAATATATCGCGATTTCGAATATATGCATTTATGGAGCAGGATCCGTCGTGTTTTACTTGAACAACGCTGATCCGGGTCGCCGCTGAGTTCGGGAGACAAGAGTATGGGATTGATCGAGAGCCCTTTGAATTCAAGTGTCGTTCAATGGTAAGGCAAGTTCGCGTGGAACTCATTCGAAATACGTTTCCTCGATCGCTCGGCGCTTCGCCGCGGAAATCGCGGCCGTGCGCAATCGCAACAAGTTGTATACAATCGCGTCCGAAATCCCTGCTAAAGTTAGAGAAAGGGAAACGTTAATCTTCCCAGATAAAAAAGGTAACAAAAGCATAAAGAGTGGATGGTTCGCTGGCGATAAATTCGCAGTTAAAGAACGTTCTCTACCTACCCTTACCTGCGGTGAAATATCGCCAACTGGAGGCTCCTCATATGTGTGTGTGTATGTGTGTGTGTGTGGGGGGGGGGGGGAAGGGGA